TGCAAATAGCCGACTCCAAGTCGTGGGCCATGGCGTGTGCCATGGCCTTCATGCGACGGGGCTTCTTTCTCGGCGTCTTTCGCGCAACTTTATCGGATCTTTCGCGCTTAATCTACTATGATTTCACAAACACGATACCTTTTGACGTTGATGCTGCGTGTAAGTGTACGTTGGAAAGACCAATCCTTGAACCGCAGAGGCCCTCCATGAAAGGCACGACCATGCCCAACTCCCCCACCACCTCCCACAGTTTGTGGACTGGCAGCCGAACGATCTGGCTGCGAGTATATTGCATCGCGGCATGGTGGGACAGTGAGTTTGCGACCTGTATGCCTACGGGCTTGTACAGCATATGCCTTACAAGTCCTACACGGCCCACACCTATTACACAACAACTTTCGCGGATTATTGCTTTCCTTTCGCGGACCCATCGCGGATCTTTCACGGACACTCTATTTCACATGTTAAAACCGTTTTGTATAATCCCAACACAAGGACCTTTAGATCAATGCTCAAATGTAAATCCAACAGCAAGGGCAACAGTAAACATCAGAGGCAGCAGCAGCAGCAGCAGCAGCAGCTGTAACGACCGTAATAGGATGGCAGTATCAAGGCATACTGTGATATCCCAGCCCAGAAGAACACAGCAGTAACTCATACTCTCGCCAGCTGCCGACTAATTATGACAGCAGGCTCCGGAATCACGAGACTCTTCACTGTATACAGCGCGCATAGCATGCATACAGATGAACACACACACACACACATGCTGTTGTCTACAAAAGCAGATGCTTGTGTGGATGGACGGACGGATGGGGGAAGGATGGATGGATGGATGGATCGACGGGTGCACTAGGTGTCTCTGTCCGTGTGAGTGTGTGTGTGTGTGCTCAACCCCAACCCATAAGCCCGATAACCCCAAACCTTCCGCCCTCAAACCCTTGAACCTAAACCCCCTATATCTCAACAACCCTAAACCCTTCAACCTAAACCAAGTATGCCTCAATAACCCTAAATCCCTTAAACCTAAACCCTGTATCTCTCAATAACCCCAAAACCCTATGCTCAAGGAACAGGTCGGCCGAACCGACTTACTGCTCCCCCGAGCAGGGCTCTGGGGATCGTCTGGAAGCTCCAATTGCCCTGTGCATTTAGGGGTTAAGGGTTTTTGAGAGATATAGGGTTTAGGTTTAAGGGTTCAAGGGTTTAGAGTCTTAGGGTTCAGGTTTTAGGGTTTGGGGTTCAGGGGGTCTGTTTAAGGGTTATGCAAAGGGTTACAAAAAGGGTTCTTTCAAGGGTTTCTATGCGGGTTCTTTCAGATAGGAGCCGTAATAACTGGAAGAGGGTGTTCGGGTAGATTATGCCACTTGTGTATCTATGGATGTGGAGGTTCCAACTTGTGGATTCATGTTTTGGGGGGTGCAACGGTTGATGGACAAAATCCTGCATGACCTCATTTACCTAAACTATGGGATTTAGGGTATTATACTATATTTGGGTCATGCAGAATTCTGTCCCCATGAACAGAAGCTTGAGAAGTTATAGGGGTTTGCCTTAAGAAAAACCCCAGACAGCAGCGAGTCCCAAGTCCGAAGTCCCCAGACTTTCGGGTTTAGGGTTTAGGGTTTAGGGGAACGAAGGCCCCCCTTTTCTTTAACTCCAAAAGGGCAGGAATACGAAAGTTTGCATTGCCTGGGACCCGAAGCACTAAACCCTAAACCAATAAGCCCTAAACCCTATAGAAACCCTAAACACCCTAAACCCAACACCCTACACCCCAAACCCCATAGACCCTGAACCCTAAACCCTAAACCCAACACCCTAAACCCTATAGGCCCTAGACCCTAAACCCCTACCCCCAAACTCTGCGACCCTTCTGGGGGAATGCCTCCAGCGGGAGCCATGCTTCCAAGGATGGGACCCAAACAGGCATTTGCCTTGAGCCCCGACGCACAAAGCAGCGGACAACATAGTAAGGTAGTGGGCCATAATAAGTTCGGAATAGGGTTTTGGGGAATAATATCGCAACTATAGTGTAGTTACAAGTAGGAACCCCCAAAATAGTTTTGGTAATTATTTAGGCCCCTATATTAATGTAGTCTGCAAGCCACCACACGGAACGATGAGGACATGGTCATGGAGGCTAGGCAACAGGGCGGTCATAATTAGAGTAATTAGACTAAGAGTCTCGGAGTATGATATGATATTAGCATTGGTTTTACGGGGACAGAAGGGTACACGATGACTACCTCTAAAGGCAGCAAAGTCATCGGTAGCAGCCTTGATACACAACCCTGATTACTGTGTAGCAGGGATAGAAGTTGGATGCTCATAACACCAGCAGTGGGGGTGCTTGCAAAAGCTGTCAAAGCAATCCGAGCAAGCGCAGTAGCAGCAGAGGCAGCACAAGCGAGGAACAGAAGCGCTCGAAGCACTGACACAGGCCGGACTATTGCCAACACCCTACCCCCCAAAAACGAATACTTTGCATCAGAAGAAACATCGGCTTCCGGCTCTTGCGGTGGAGCTAGGGTTTTTTTATGGATGGGATATTCTCTTTCAATATCCAGTGTATAGGGACTGCAAGGGAATCTTCATACCAGTACTATCATTGTCCCTAAACCCTAAACCCTAAACCCTTTTCCGAAGTCCCTTCGTGAGCCGGGGCTTCTCTTGCGCGTACCTTGTCACAGATGCTTAGGCCCTTGATCTCGCGGACACCGCAAGGTAAGAAACGATTGGATACGAATTCGCAATCAACGTAGCCCCCATCTGTGTCGTCGGTGGCATGAGGTCCACAGATGCTGCGCAACGTCGATAAAACTTCATCTGCCTCACCTGGGGTAGCAACGGTACAGCCCAGAAAAGAAGGGTCCGGAAACTTCGTCAGCTGGAGGACCGTACCATCATGGACGAGGCGGCGCATACTGGACTGAACCTCCGAGCAGGCACCCCACTCCTTACTTCCCCAATAAGCCAGGAAAAGAAAAGGTTAAACTTTCAGACTAGTACTATAGTACATAAGAACCAAAAAAGTTTAAAGGCTGGGTATTGGGGAACTAAGACTCTGGGGCGTAGGCACGCAGGCCCACTAGATCGCAGGCCGCGGCCACACCACCCCAAAGGTCCAGATCGCACACATGGCCGCAGGCAGCCCCTTCTATGCCGTAGTGCTCCTTCGCTGCTTTCAGTGCATCTGTAAGGGACTCCATGTCGTAGCCATGCCCGGACATGGAAACTTTCATGTCCAGGAGCGGCAGCCGTACGGATCTGGCGAAGGCTGCCGCCCGGCCCCCATCATTCGCCGAGCCCACCACGCAAGAAATCTCACAGCGCCAACTTGTCAAGAGGCAGTACACCTGAATGCTGTGATACCCACTGGTCAGCAGCAGCGCTACTGGAGAGTGGGATGCGCCGGGCACGGACATCACAAAATCTGCCTGATGAAACGGATTGCCTGCCCCCGCCACTTGCTCCCGCTGCTTGGCCGCGTCGTTTGCCAAGATCCTGGGGTTCTTGTTAAGGAACTGAACGTAAGTTACCATGACAAGGAAACCCTTATTTACTATATATAGATCCCCACTACCCTATGATTTAGATCCCGATTATTTACTATACCCCTAAACCCTAAACCCGCCCAGGATCTTCAAAGCATTGTACACCCGGGACCCGTACTGCGCGGCGCGCTTCCGCCGGTCGGTGATGATCCTCGGCGCCCCCAGCGAGCGGGCCACGGCCCGCAGAGCCCCCTTCCTGGGTTCTTGCTGTAAGGAACTTAGTTTAAGTTACCAGCTAACTACCATATAATGAGGAGATCGTCTTCTTTCAATATAGATCCTTATAATGGTCACTTTAATCTGAAATTCGATAACAACCGCCCAGCTTCCCACCATCCACCACCAGCTCACTCTGGGCGCAGTCCGCTCTCTGGGCGGCGTCCCGGCAGCTGAGGCCCGCTGGTGGAGGCTCTGCAGCCGGCAGGTGCAGGGCCACATCCAGAAGGTCGGCGTCCAAAAATGGGTAACCTTGCAGAGGGATGTTTAGAATCCTAACCCCGCACGCCCAAAGAAACCCTGCTAAACCCTGAACCCCAAAGGGTATGCTTGCAAAGGGCTTCTATAAGCCCCAAGCCCTCAACCCTGACCCAGAGAAGTTCTCGGGCACTGTACTGGTTCCTCGATATGCCCTGTGTATGGGAAAGGGACCTTGAACAGTGCACTCTGCTTTTTGTGTCGCTGCTTCTTTAATTTAAACTCTGAGTTCAAGCAAATTCGTACCCTACAAACTCACACGATTTCTGCTCTGAGACCCCAGCCGTCTAAGCCCTAAACACCCCTAGACACGCGTAACAAACCTCAACTACTAAACCTCCTGAGCCTTAAATTAAAACTTTCCAAACCCCTAGCCGTAACTTTAACAGACCCTACGGAGCTAAGCCTTTTCTATCTTCGCCTTCAAGCCGTTCCAAACCCATAATCCAGTAGACCCTGGCTGTCTGGTGCTTAGTAGGGAATAGGGGAATGGGTTATAGGGACTACTATAAGGGACCTCACGGGACTATCATAGGGATCCATTCCTCCATTCCCTACTAAGCACCAGACAGCTGAACCCTGAACCCTTAAGAACCGAGCAGCGCATCTCCACTCCCGCCAAGGACGAAAGGATGAAATCGCGCTGCAGATCGCGGTGCCACATCTGCGCCAAGCCCAGGGTGCGATCTCGGGAGGTTGCCTTCAGGGTTCTGCTTCAGGGTTTAGGGTTTAGGGTTTGGGGTTTAGGGTTTAGGGTTTAGGGTTTAGGGTTTAGGGTTCAGGGTTTAGGGTTCAGGCTTTCGGGTTTATGGTTTGGGGTTTGGGGTTTAGGGTTTAAGGTCTTGAAAGGATTTGGGTTTAGGGTCTCATGGGGTTTTAAGGGTTTGGGATGAGGGGTTTAGGGTTTACAGTGGAAGGGCGACAGGGGTCAATTTAGGGGCCTTCACAATTTTAACATGGGTTGGGGTGTATGATGAATACTGTAGAGGTATAAGGCCGTTTTAGGGGGTTCATAATTACAACAGGATTTGGTGAGATATGTGTATATATATATATATATACACATATGTGTGTGTGTACGATAATGAAATATCATCGTATAGGGAGTGCAAGGGTGGGCCGGAGAACAACGCATAAACAGCTGGGTCGGTAGACGAAAGATAAGTTGTTAAAACTCCTGGGCTTGTCGCGGTAGACATGGACGGACCTAGGCAGAGTAATGTAGGGGTTTTAATAATTAGAATAGGGTTTTGAGGTATATTGTAATAAAATTAGAATACGGAGCTCCCCAAACAGTATAGGCAACTATTAAGGCCCCCATATTAGCTAAGGTGTACTTGATGGGGATCCTAGGGACTGACAATTCTTCAGAGGTTTCGGGATACCGGTCTATACTATATGCTCATGGAGAGCCCCCTAAACCCTAAGCCCCTTTGCAAGCCCAAAACCCCAAGCCCCCAAAACAACTGAACCCCTAAAATACAAACCCTATAAAACCCTAACCCCTAAACCCTAAACCCAACCCTAAACCCCTAAACCCCTAAACCCTCACCCCTAAACTCCCTCTAACCTCTAAATCCGGCCCGCAGCTCCCTGCACACAAAAAGCCCTAAACCCCTGAAGCTCCAACCCCCAAACCCGATTAAGCTCTGAAAGGAACCGAACCCTCAAAAGGAATCCTTGTAGTACCCTTTCATAAGGGTTTAGGGTTTAACAGAATCGCCCGTAGCTCAAGCCCTAAAGCGCAATGCCTCGTCCCCGGCTACGCAGGCCCTGGCGTGGCGCTGGTAGCCTGCAAAGGCCTCCTCTGAACCGAGGCCGCTAAGCACCACGTGCAGCCCGTCCTCACTTGGTTTCGCGTTTCCTTGCAGTGGTTACTAGTCTGTTCCGATTTAGGCTTTACAGTGTTTAGGGGTTCAGCAGGGGTTTTGGCTTTAGAGTCCTCCGAAACGTGGTTGTCAAGAGGAGCCTCTTAATCTCAAGCCATAAAGAAAACTCTTCTTTATGGTTTAAGAGCCTCTTCTTGACAACCACGCTTCGAAGGCTTTCCCTAAACCCTAAACCCTAAACCCTAAACCCTAAACCCTAAACCCTAAACCCTAAACCCTAAACCCTAAACCCATTAAAGGGCAACCCGTGGTTCGGGGGTTGGGCTTAGGGGTTTCTAAACCCTAAACCCTAAACCCTAAAACCCCTACAAGTGACCCCTGAGGATTCGCAAAAATGGGGCCTGAGGCCACAAGATCCGAGCGAATCCCTCAACATGTACAGGGAGTTTACTCCAAATTCCTCAGCTCCCTTGTGGCTAGAATAGGGATTCTTGGTAAAAGAATAGTACTCAACGCACTTATTCAGCCTTCTTAGTTCCTCGACCCTTGTGATTTTCGAGACTTCAATCCGACACTGACCTGAAAAGCTGGATCGAAGCTAAACTAAAGCCTCCGCCCCCAAGTCCTGTTTAGGCTTTAGGTTTTCGGGTCCAGGGTTTGTAGGGCTTTCAAATGAGAGCCATACACCATGTCGAACCATGCTTGAACCCCCTTGCATTTCTTTTGCAATGTCGAGCCTCTGACCTGCAATCTACGTCTTTCGGAAAGTCTAGTGTAGGGTTTGCGGTCGTACGGGTAAGTTCCTTTAGCAAAACAACTGTGCTACAATGTCAGGTCTAGGTGAACGCACCCTTTTCCGACTACATGCACATGCGGATCTCAGAATCAAGAGTTTCTGCGAGACCCCTACATGGGCCCTGTAGCCCTGAACCCTTGAACGCTAAATCCCAATCCCGAACCCCTTAAGCTCCAAAATGTGTCACCCCTCAACCCCCAGAGGCTCCATGGTAGTTCCTTTTGGGGGATTGCCTTATAGGATCCTACGTATAAACCACAGGAAGGAACTACCATGGAGCCTATGGGTAAACCCTAAACCCTAAACCCCTCAAGGAAAGGTCCTGCGATGCGAGGCGACAGGCAGCCAGCATCGTCATTCCAACTGAGGCTTTCACTGAGTTCCAATCCTGGAGCTGAAAGGAGTGGGGCCTTTGAGGGTTTAGTTTATTGCAAGAGTTATTGATATTATTCTGTTTCTTCATGTTGTTATTATTATCACTGCTACTGCTACTACTACTACTACTACTACTACTACTACTACTCCTACTACTAGTACTACTAGGGCGTGAGGGCAAATATCTTCGCTGCTTGGCCTACCACGGAGTTAATGAGAATGACCATCTTGAGAACCCAAACCTTACGAGAGCTTAGGGTTTAGGGCTTAGGGATTTAGGGCTTAGGGTTTTAGGGTTTAGGGTTTTGGGGTTTGGGGTTTAGGGTTTAAAGTTTAGGGCTTAGGGCTTAGGGATTTAGGGCTTCGAACCCCTCAAACCCTAAAGCCCTCCGTCAAACCCCTGAATGCCCAGAGTCAGCCACCAGAGGTGCGGAATCTAACAAGAGCTGCTTCGCCTGCAGAAGGAGTGGAGAAGCTGGTTCTTGGGGGCTTTCACTGTGGCTTTAGAAGGTTTTGTAGGATTTTACAAGCGTTTTTGTAAGGGCTGTGAAGAAAGCGTAATTTATGATGGTTCGGTCCTCAGGGGTTTCATGGCTCATGGGCATTAAGGGTAGACCTAGACTGCCCAACTACCCTCGATTATACCACAAATACGCCCCAATGAAGTTCGGGGCTGGAGCCCACCGCCAAATCCTGAACCTGAACGGTTTAGGGTTTAGGGTTTAGGGCCCCATGTTTGGGTTTGTAGTGAACCCGAGAAAGTTGGAACATGGATTTAGGATGATTACTGCTGGGATTCCCTATACTTTACTTTAAGGGCATATGAGGAGAATGATGTTCCAACTTTCGTGGCTTCTACTACAGGGTTTTCGGTTTAGTTGAAGGAAACTACAGGTGGGGAGTTTAGGGTAAATAGGGCTTCTATAAGGCTTCTATAAGGTCTATAGAACTTCTATAAGGCTCCTATAACGGCAACTACCCACCTGAAAATGTCCTACACCTTTGGGGTGTTGGGGATCAGTAGGGTTTGTGTATAGGGTTTATGAGTCTGTAAGGGCGTCGGTTTTGGTCGGGGTTAAGACATATCGCTGCACTCGATTCATGAAGGCTTCGAGATTAGCGGCATAAGCCTTCGACATACACTGAAAGCCTTACTTAGGTCAAGTCTTGCCGGCCTCAGTCAGATCCATGACGTGATGTTTCCATTCCAGGTTCATCTCTCTGGCAGCTGCTTCCGCCACAAGCAAGTCTTCTGGGTAGGCGTACTTGTTCTTGATCTTCTTATCCTCGAGATGAAACCTGGCCATAATCGTTTTGGTCACTCGGCTCCCATCTCTCTATATCCACATCTTTATCTGTAACTATATCGATCTTTATCTACATTAAGAGATATCTCAGTATGTTTCAGCCCGCAGCAGGGGATCGCCCGATATCTGCGGACACAGTGGGCCAGCTAGGCGAACTCCAGTTTGCACGCAGGACCGCTGAAAGCCCGAACCCCACAGCCGAGGTGTCAGGGGGTGTGGTGTAGGGTAAGGTTAAGGGTCTTCCTAATGTAGCCCCCCAATCGCCTCCCTTTTTCAACGACTCATACTTCTAAGGACAGCAAAATAAGAAACCCTAAGAAAGAAGGGTTCACACGGTTCAGTTTGGGTTTCGTGGCTAACCACACCGGAGCCATGGTCGCACACATGTCGTCAACATACTATCATCATGGCCTCAACAAGTAACAAGTTTTCCTATGTTGACTCTCGAAAACCGAAGAGTTAAATAGCAAAGTCTACACAATGGAAACAGTCCGGGAATCTGGGAATGGGGTGACAAGAAGTTGACCAATCCCCATAGATCTTGCATGTCTAGAAACTTGGAAACCCTTAACAGTTCTCCAAAGTCCTCCAACCCTTACAGCTCTCTCTCTCTCTCTCCCTCTTTGTCTCTGTATTCCCAACTTCTGTTAGCTCCATGACCTCTAAGCGAAAGCAAGAGGAGAGACGAGGTTGACCTTTCAAATTTACCGTGCGACGCTTGAGGTAGGAGCAGCGAAAGGGAAGGGCGGGAGGAAAGTGGAGGGTTTTCTCATCAGGGCAAGAGTACGAGGCGCAGTCTCTTCGCATCGGTCCAACAAACCAAGGCAAGAAGGGGTGACTTAAGGCATCTGTTATGGACCTGTCTGAACACCCTAAACCCTAAACCCTAAGCCCTAAGCCCTAAACCCTAAACCTTAAACCCTAAGCCCTAAACCCTAAACCCAAGACCCGAAGCCCTAAACGAACAGTGGTAAAGCCCTTGGCAGAGCTCTCTTCTCGAGGCGAGGCGCCGAAATGGTGGTGGGAGATACAGCATCATGGGAGCCAGGATTAGGGGGCCCTTGGGGATTTAGACCCTCTCAATAAGGTCCCAGTAAGGGGTACCCCTAATAATACTACCTGCATCAAGATGAATCATAACGGTGGGTTTAGGGTTCAGGGCTTTGGGCTTTGAGGTTTTGGGTTTAGGGTTTAGGGTTTAGGGCTTTGAGGTTTAGGGTTCAGGGTTTGGGGAAATGACATAATCTACTGGATACTGATCTTAACTGCTCAGAAACAGGGAGCTGTACTCCTTCAGAAAACTTGCAATGTGAGCCTTACTCATGATTAGTGTGCATCAAAGGTCCCGGGACCTTTGCATATCTGTCACAAGGCTGCTGAACTTTGGGGTCCTGGGCGTTTTGGGCTGAGGGCTTCAGGATCTGCAGATCCTACTTACCCAGAGGGTCCACATATACTACCATTATGGAATTAGGTCCCAAAAGACCATCCTTATTATGGTTTTGGGGACCTAATTCCATAATGGCAGTATATGTGGACCCTCTGGCTTAGTTCCATCCCAGGAGCCCGACTGTGTAGCAGGTACATTGGCACCTCGGCCACGTGGTGGTCCACATGCTTCGAAGCCGAGTCGGAAATTCGGAAATTCAAGGGTTTTGGGCCTAGGTTGGGTCCCTATCCTTCCTTCCATAATGCAGGGGCCTTAATAAGGCTTTAGGCCCCTTTGTGGTCTACTTATGATAAGGAACCTTAAGGAATAATGTTGGTAATTATTTAGTCTTCTATATAAACCCTAAACCCTAAACCCTAAAACCTATTATTGGCTTTCCGAGGCCCCAGGCTTGTTAGTTTTGGAACAGGAGTCGGCGCTGAATCAAGGCTTCTTCTTTAGGGTTTAGGGTTTAGGGTTTTAGGGTTTAGGGTTTAGGGTTTTGGGGTTTGGGGTTTAGGGTTTTGGGGTTTAGGGTTTCGGGTTCAGGGTTTAGGGCTCTTTCTCCCCCCAATGAAACACCAACCACAAAGCCTGGTGAAATCATCCGGATCTGGTAATGTAGGAGCCTTACTAAGCAGAATAGGGCTCCTTGAAAGGGCTCCTTCAAGGGGATACTAGAAGAGATACTATAAGTGTTTGGGGTTTAGGGG